GGTACAAAAATGAGGAAATGGCAGTAAGTGTTGTAGAGGATTTCTTTAACCAAGGTGAAGAAAATAAAGAAAAAAGAGGATACATAATCTATGATGTGGATGAGAAAAGTAGAGGACCACCGACCCGACTGCCTCCTTCAGGATGGGGCATGACTGTGATATCATCCCCAAATGAGGAACAATATAAAGGATGGAGGAAGCAAAAAGGGGCTTATCGAATCGTTATGAATTGTCCAACTGTGCGTGAAATCAAGGCCATATGTGCATGGGAAAAGCGCAACCAATCCAATGAACTTAAAAGCCATTGGAAGAAAATAAAGGAACGTATTAATAATATTGGACCACTTCCACGTCATATTTTTGATGATGGTATGTATCGTGATCGGTGCAATGAAGTGCAAGATACGTTGGATCTCATTAACGAATCCAATATTTCAGAGTACAAAAATATCCTCAGAGGTATTGGTGAATGGAAAGATAAGAGTCCATCCCATAAACTAGTAAAAATATACCGTGTTGTCATTAATTGTCGCGATGTCCCAAGGAATAAGTCGATTACTGTTGCTTTGGGCTTTCAGATAGTTGCTAGAGTGATTATGATTTTGAAGTCCCCTGTTCTGAATGTGGTTTTCACCGACAAGGGTGTGATCATTGCCGAAGGTTTTCAACGGTATGGTGTTAATGCTTTTACAGATAAAAATTTTGTGACTGCACTTAGTGAAGTACTGCAAATAATTCAACCACCTAAAGGTCGAGTGAGTCAGCAGAGTGTTCTACAACGGAGAGATTTGATTACATGTGCTAGTGATGGGTCTCTCTCCTTTCCCACCAGTATAAAAGATGAGAAGAAGAGGATAGAGTACAATATGCTTTACCATCCTTCTATATCTAATTTCCCTCTGGTGGATGCCTTCTACTTTGTGAAATCTGCAAGAGGGAAGGTTACAATGGTTGGAATACAAACGACAACTGCCAAAAGACATGAAACTACAGCTAGTAAAGTATGTAAATTCATTGAATATCTTAAAAATTGTTTTTCTGACTGGACTGTTATTTCCAAGAAAGTATCATGGGAGATCATTTACTTGCAACCCTACGACACCGATAAGAGCAAACAAATAAAAGAATGGCAAGGATGCACTTTTAAAAAATCACAGCAGTATACCGCCACGCCACAGAACTCTATTATCAAATTCTGGAAGGAAAAGGTAAATCAGTATCAAGTGAGCATGTCACAGTCAATGATTATATGGCTTATTGAGGCTTTAATGGCGATGTATTAAAGAAGGAAATAAAACGAAAGAAGAAGGAAGAAACAAAATACGACAAGAAGTGTTTATTTCAAATGAAATATGTTTTAATTTCAGAAATATTAGTGAAATAAAACCTCCTTTGATATGTTTTTTTTTTTTTTTTTAGTATGAGTTTGGGGGTAAAACAAATATGCCGTATGGTCTCACAAAACAATGAATAACTGTTCGGTATATTGCCCATTTATAAATTCTGTTTTCTTTTAGGACAAAGTACAAATGACAATGTATATTAATTTTTGATTTCGTTGAGTTTTTTAATTATTTTCAGGGTGGATGGGATTGGGAAAAGGAATGATCTAATGTTGCGCTTGGTAAAAAAAAAAAAAAATAATAACATATTATGTTTTCTTGGTTTGTATATCTGTGGGTGTTGTCATTTCAGGTTTGGTGTTTTGAAAAATCCACTCAATACGTCCTTCTTTTTGCTGCGCGGGGTGATGGTTTAAAATGGTCTCTCAGCATTTCCTTTTCGTCAGTATTAATTATGAATTGGTATTTGAGACTCCTTTCTAGTTTTTAATTAAAATGCAATAGGGAGCGAAAAAACACAACAGGAAAGTACTAGGTGCTTCTTTTTTTTGTTTTACTGCTCTGCCTAAATGGTAAATTTATTACTGTAATGGGAATCTTTGAGGGGAGAGGAAATTATCAAAATACAACGCATATTTCCGTTCTGCGTGAAGGGAAAGTGTTTTAAACTATTCTGCCACTTGCCGCTCCCCAAGGGGGATCTCTATTGAAACAGAGGGCGTAGTAATAAAAATATTTTCTGTTTCTCTCTTTTTTTTTTTCTTGCAATTTATGGGCTCAGCAAAGGAAAAGATAAATTACATTAAGGATACCCACCTAGCCTCCCTCGTCATCCACTGCAGAGAATTCCATGAGGGACAGGGTCTGCCACAAAAAACGAATTCCACCAATGTATGATACAAAACGACGAAAACAAGAGAACTTCCGGCATTAGTCTGTCCCACATACAACCGTCAGTGTATGAGTAAGTCAGGCGTAACTCTACACCGAATGTCTCGACACGGGTATCAACCTACTCGCGTACATACCAGCCAACGCGATGAGTGCGAAGAAACAGCACTGCATCTCTTGAGTTGCATCGCTCTTCATCCACTGCGAGTTCAATTTGCGATAGTTGATGATGTACCCCTGATGAAACTATGTTTTTCTAAGCGGTTAGCACAATTCCTTATTGCGGTGGAGCGGAACTACGCTATGCCACAGACTTCACACCCAAGAAACCCTACACAGCCTACCTCCCCCTCTGTAAAGCCTCCCCACCTCTCTAAAATTAGCGACGAGCTCGAATATGGAAACCTTGATAGAAGAGTAAGCTCAAGGCGCCTGTCGCTGACCAAAAACAAGCAACAAAATAAATAGGAGTTCATTGAGGCCAATAAATAACAAAAGAAAAAAAACAAAAATAATAACAAAAAGGAGACTTGAGGACGGGTTCTGGGTAAGAAAGGAAAGAGTAGAGAGACCTGGTAGGGTTTACTCGATCAGATTTCTCGTAGACTGGTTCTCTCGTTTGGGAACGGGCTACAACAAAAAATCATATTACAAGAGCTTGAGGATCCTATAAAACGAAGGGGTTTTCTTTTTAGGAGCCACTCTTAAGTCAGTAATTAGGTGCTCAACGGTGTACGGTTGATAGCCGTACCATCGGGGTAACAACCATAAAGCGATGAAAAACAAATTAAAAACAGTACATAATGGTGGGGGTCCTTTTTTGCGGATGGAAGGGAATATGTATGTTCGTACCTTCCTAATGAACATCGGGTGAGGGACGGGTATTGGGTTGCTTTTTTGATTTTATTGATAAGAGTCTGGAAGAAGAGAAAGCGAACCGGCATTGTGAGGGAAAGAATAAAATAATAGGGATAAATAAAGAGGTATTATGTTAGAGAGAATAATTGTGTGTTGATTGTGTTTGTAACGAGAGTGGCATGGTATTACAGTGGTGTATGCAGTCATTTTTGTTATTGTTGTGAGTGGGTTTTGGATTCCAATTGTGGTGTTGGTATAAATATTATGGTATTGCATTGGTTTCTTTCTTTTTTTGTTTGCGGGTGTGTTGATCATTGTACAGTCTTTTTGTTCTGTTGATGTTTTGTGGCATTGTTATTGTTTGCTGTCAGGCGTACACAGTGTGGGTGGTGTGTTTTTCGTATTCGAGTTGAGTGGTAATGTTTTTGTTGTAATGGAATGCAGACACTTTGTGTATGATTATCGAGTAAGATATTGGAGTGTGTGTGGAGTCAGTTATTTAATAGTGCTTCGGTTTGGTTTTTTTTTCCTTCTGAATTCAAGGTGTTGTTTCAATATCTGTGTAACTCTGGGTGTGTTGTTGTGTGAGGGATTTACTGTTGTTGTTCTCTCATTGGATTGTTTGATTGCTGTTGTGATGTATTCTCTCTCTCTTTCTGTGTTGCTGTGTGTTCCCTGCCCTGTGTGTTAAATGTGCGTCTCTTTTCTCCTGCTCTTCTTCCTTGATACCACAGACCCAAACGAAACAAAGTGACAATCATGACAGCGATGTTCGTCCAACTACGCCGCGTGGTATATGTGTTGTTGCTTTTACATGTTTTTGCGGGCAGGGTACAAGCAGCTACCGGCCAACCGACACTTACGTGCACTCGTGAACGTGAGAACGATCTGAAATTTGCCGAGAAAAGAATGAAGGAATCGTGGGAAAGTCCTGGCACGCCACTTGTGGGAGGAAAGGCTTGTCTGGAGGTATGGGAGAGGGAGGTGAAGGCATGCAATGATAATCACGCAGCGATGGAAATTGCTTTAAATGCCACCACTGAGGTTGTTGAGAGCGTCAAAAAGTTTCGTGGTGGAAAGGGTGATAAGAATCAGGAGTCTTGCCGGCAAACAAATGTTCAGGAGTATTTGAGGAAATTCGACCAGATGAAGAAAAATTATGATGCGGCTGTGCCCAAAGCAAAAGAACTGGCGGAAAATGCCGTTGAAGCAGGGAGAAAGTGTTTTACGTACACCGGTAACTTGGCTGAACCGGCGAGACAACTCAGAGAGGCACTCGCGTGGTACAAGGAAATGGTTTTAAACGATGAAGAATACAGAGGTTGTGGCCTGGAGAGTAGGGGCGATATACTCGAGGATTACACGGGAAAATCCCGTGAAATGGATGAGGTATTGAAAAATCTTACGGTGATGAAAGGGTACACCCAGGTTTGCGGGCTGGCGTCCAAAAGAGATGTGGGGGACCCGTTGAGAAAGAAGTATGATGAATTCCTGCTGCTTTGTCCTCAGGATCTTGTTAGCAAACAGAAACCGGTTTTTGAGTCGCAGAAGAAGGAGGAAATCGTAAGTGATAAGGGTCCGAAGAGTAGAAGAGAAGGTGAGGAGTATTTGGTAAAGCAGAAGGCCCTCAAGAAATTCGAGGAAAAATTCAAGCCTTTGGAGGATAAATACACTGAAGAAAGAAAGCAGGATGAGGAAAGAAGGAAGGCGGAAGCAGAGGCGAGAAAGTTGAAGAGGGCTCAAGAAAAACAGGCGGCGATAGAAAGGGCGAGGAGGGAACAAGAAGAAATGGCGGCACAAGAAGAGGCCAAGAGGCTTGCAGAAAAGAAAAAGGAAGAAGAGACCAAGAGACTCGCAGAAAAGAAAAAGGAAGAAGAGAAAAGGAGGGCTGAAGAAAGGAAAAAGGAAGAGGAGTCCAAGAGGATTGCGGAAGAACAAGCGAAGAAGGCCAAGATGAAGAAGGATGGCAGCAACGGTCCTGCATTGGTGCACAGTCCCTTGTTGCTTATTGTTCTGCTGTGTGTGCTGGGCTGCACTCTTGTTTGCTGATCGTTGTTCCCGTGACACAGGTGCACAGTTAATCTTTGTTTGAGTGGATATGGATGCATTGTAAGGGTACTGTTCTTTTCGGTTGAATATCAGCACTTCTTCTTTTTTTTTCAGTTCGATAAATCTCTTGTTTGCATTTTTTTGCTGAACAAATCTATTGGACTCCCTATGACACTCAACACATGACAAACCATCATTTTGTAAGGGGAGTGTCCTCTTTGTTTGTTCACATTATTATCTGGGCTCTGCTTTGCCGCCATTTACTGTGTTCTCCTGGTGATGTGTCTGTGTTCCGTGATATTAATAACTATTGCTTTTACCCATGGGAATGGAATATTTCCCCAACATGTTTAATTGCTGTGACTGAAATGTGAAGAATGGCAGGAGGTTCAAGACACACAAACACGCACACTACCAACCTTCCTTCTCCTTGTGTGTGTATGGACTGTCATCATGTGTGCATCATTCCCACTGCTCGCCCTGTACGAAAGACACACACACACCGACTGCTGGGAATTGTGTTCTTGCCTCCTGAACATATACACATGGTGATAACGGCTTTTTTTTTTGTTTTGTTTTCATTCTACTGTTTTCCCCCTTGTGTGTGTGTGTTTCATTATAATTTCATTGCACGTTATGTGCAGCTGTGTGTTTTCCTTTTTTGTTTCTGATACACCTTGTGTGTCTTGTGTGTTCATCATTGTGAAATGATTCTTTTTTTCATTATATGCAAACTGTTGCAGGGACATCAAGAGTAAAAGATATGGGTACAGCACGTTCAGTACACAATGATTTTCCGTTGTTAACCTTGGGGTGCATTGGACTGTGTCCAGGCATGGCAGCCACATTAAGTAATGAATTTCTTTTTTTCTTTTACATCTTTGCTCTATTATTGTGTCTGCCTCACGCAGTCACTCTTTTTTTACACATTTTTATTTTGGTATAAAGATTGGTGGGTTGTAGGTGCTTGAGTGTGCCCCTCTGTTGTGTGTTCCTTTGTGTGTCTGGTCTGCTACCCACACCGCCCACGTAATGAAAACACATTTCTTTGTTCTCACCTTCTCTCTCGGTGTTGTCACTCACGGCACTACCACGAACATATTACTGCCCTTGTGGTGTGTGTTGTTTGTTTTGTGGTTTGCTTGAGTGACTCCACCCTGCGGGGAGGGACTGAGACTGTTCCGCTTCGGCTTCGCGTAATGGGCTTGTTTTTTCTTTTTGGGGTTGAGTTGGTGTGCTGGTGTGGGTGATTGTTTTTCTCTGATGAGAGTGGCACTTGTGTTTATTGTATTGTGAGTGCTTTGTGTGCTGTTGTTATCCTGTTGTTGTTCTTCTTCTTTTCTTGTGTTTTTCTTTTCCTTCATGTAGGTGTGTGACTCAGTTTACATTTTAGTGAATGCTATGGCGCCTCTCTGATATGAGCATGTGCGATTGTGAGTGGGAAGGACACCGTTGTGTTGCTGGACCACTCCACTGCGGCGTCTGTGGGGTGCATTGAATGACGGCGTGGCGATATCCACTGACATGTGTGTGAGCGACTGGAGTGGCATTGAGGTTCCTTTACGCCAGTCCATTGCCCTGTGATGCGATTGGGGTCCGACATGAATGGATTAATGAGATTCCCTCTGTCCCGAGTTACTATCTAGCGAAACGACGGTCAAGGGAACGGACTTGAAGGGCCAGGCGGGGAAAAAAAACCCTGTTGAGTTTGACTCTGGTCTGCTTTTGGACCGGCTGGTCGGTGGCATGTACTTGGTACTGTCATCACTTTATAATTTGGTTCACATAATTTATATATGTGTACTAGTGTGAGATTGTGAAGGGATCTCGCAGGTATCGTGAGGGAAGTATGGGGTAGTACGAGAGGAACTCCCATGCCGTGCCTCTGGTTTCTGGAGTTTGTCGAACGGCAAGTGCTCCGACGCTATCGCACGGTGGTTCTCGGCTGAACGCCTCTAAGCCAGAAGCCAATCCCAAGACCAGATGCCCATTTTATATCACTATATATAACCAAAACTATGTGTACGTTATCAGCTAACGTGTATGGTATGCACGTGCGTGACTGTCTTAGGGAAAAGTAGACCTCCGTGGTCGCGGCTTTTCAGGACAAGACGGGCTACACCAAATCTAGGATGTGTTTGGTTTCTGCGTTTTTTTTTTCGCTACAGCCTTCGCGGTCCTCTCCTATCCGGGAGCTTGAGGAGGTTTTCTTACTGTTTTTCAAAAAATAAACACTCTATCGAATCGCCATCCAAATCATCTGGTGGGCCCCGCCCGCCCTTGAGGCGCCAAGTTCCTTCATGATCACAAGGCACTTTTTTTGAAAACAAAGAAAACGTGTGCCTGGCAGTGTCGCGTTTTATGCGCAGCTCTCTCAGTGTTCAACTCTTGCATTCGGGGGAAGGGCATTCCCCAAACGCGAAGGTTCGCGGCGGCGTAGGGCAATATACACAGACGCGCCTAGAGGCTCATCTTGAAATGGACCGCGCCCCAAACGCAACGGCGTTGGTCGAAATTCCTGTCTGAGGGCAGTTGCGGCGCGGCATGCATTCCAAACACGCACGCCACAGCAACACACGAACACAAACACAACCAATTTGCCCCCCTCTCCAAACGAGAGAACATGCATGGGCTGGCATGCTTCGCTTCGGCGGGGCTCGAGGGGCACTTTACGTCCCGAGGCGCTGAACCTTGAGGCCTGAAATATCATGCTCAGGGACTTTGAACTTGAGAGAAAAAGAAGAGTGAGGATGAGGAAAAAAAAG